AAAATGGCTATTCACATCCAGTCGAGGACTCGCCGGCTTCTTGGGTAGCTGCGAAGTGCGGGTCCTTCAGCATGTTCAGGTTTCGAGCGGTCCTTAGTATAGCTTCCCGATGTTTAGAAAGAATTTGGTACGTCGCAACATAAGCGTTTCAAGTCTGGCATGCTCCTTGAATTCGGCCTTTCAGGCCGGGTATCAAACCCCGGGGCCATCAAAAACATATCCGGAGCGAAGAACTACCCCCGGGGGCGGGGCCTCTGGGGCCGCGGCTTGAAACATGATATAGGCAGATGTCAGGGGAGGAGGGAGAAGAAAGAAGGGAGAGGAGGAGGGGGAGGAGGAGGGAGAAGGGAGAGAAGGAGGGGGAGGAGGATTATCCCAGTGCGACCCTACCTAGGAGTTGGAGCCCCTAGGAAAGCAGCATTAGCAGTAACAGTAAAGCTAAGCTAAAGCTAAGCTAAAGCTAAGCTGAAGCTAAGCTAAAGCTAAGCTAAAGCTAAGGCTAAGCTAACACTAAGCTAAAGCTAAGCTAACGCTAAGCTGAAGCTAAGCTAAAGCTAAGCTAAATCTAAGCTAAAGCTAAGCTAAAGCTAAGCTAAAGCTAAAGCTAAAGATAAGCTAAAGCTAAGCTGAAGCTAAGCATAAGTTAAACTAAAGCTAAGCTAAAGCTAAGCTAACGTTAAGCTGAAGCTAAGCGAAAGCTAAGCTAAAGCTAAACGAAGGCTAAGCTAAAGCTGAGCTAAAGCTAAGCTGAAGCTAAGCTAACGCTAATGCTAAGCTAAAGCTAAGCTAAAGCTAAGCTACAGCTAAGCTAAAGATAAGCTAAAGCTAAGCTAAAGCTAAGCTGAAGCTAAGCTAAAGCTAAGCTAACGCTAAGCTGAAGCTAAGCTAAAGCTAAGCTAACACTAAGCTAACACTAAGCTAACACTAAGCTGAAGCTAAGCTAAAGCTAAGCTAAAGCTAAGCGAAAGCTAAGCTAACACTAAGCTGAAGCTAAGCTAGAGCTCAGCCGAAGCTAAGCTAAATCTAAGCTAAAGCTAAGCTAAAGCTGAGCTAAGGCTAAGCTAACACGAAGCTAAAGCTAAGCTAAAGCTAAGCTGAAGCTAAGCTAAGACTAAGCTAAAGCTAAGCTACAGCTAAGCTACAGCTAAGCTAAAGCTAGCGCTAAAGATAAGCTAAAGCTAAGCTAAAACTAAGCTAAAGCTAAGCTAAAGCTAAGCTAAAGCTAAGCTAAAGCTAAGCTAACACTAAGCTGAAGCTAAGCTAAAGCTAAGTTAAAGCTAAGCTAAGGCTAAGCTAAAGCTAAGCTGAAGCTTAGCTAGAAGCTAAGCTGAAGCTAAGCTAAAGCTGAGCTAAATCTAAGCTAAAGCTGTACTAAAGCTAAGCTAAAGCTAAGCTAAAGCTGAGCTAACGCGAAGCTAAAGCTAAGCTAACGCTTAGCTAACACTAAGCTAAAGCTAAACTAGCACTAAGCTGAAGCTAAGCTAAAGCTAAGCTAAAGCTAAGCTAACACTAAGCTGAAGCTAAGCTAAATCTAAGCTAACGCTGAGCTAAAGCTAAGCTAACACTAAGCTACAGCTAAGCTGAAGCTAAGCTAAAGCTAATGCTAAAGCTAAGCTAAAGCTAAAGCTAAGGCTAAAGCTCCCAGGGGACTGGGGGAACCGCGGGGCGGGGACTGGGGGAACCGCCCGGGGCGGTTAGCATTGCCCGGCCCTTTAAGCAAAGAGAGTAAGAACCCTTCTAGGCAGAGCCTAGGTAGGGAAAAAGGAGGAGGAGGAGGAGGAGGAAAAAGCGGAGGAGGAGGAGGAGTGCTGGAGTGCTGGAGTGGACGGCGCGGCGGTCACTCGGCCGCCGACCGCGCAGCCCCGCGCGGGCGCCCGACGGCGCGCGGCGGGCCCGACCAAGCCTCGAAGTCGATGAATGCGTTGAACGCGACCTGGCAGCAGCGTCGCCTCGCCCGCTCGCCCGCTCCGCCCTCAGCCACAGGAATTGGCCAAATCCTGTCGTGGCGGCCCCCCCGGGGCCACTGATCACAAACCAGTGGTTGTGATCAATGGGGCTCTGGGCCTCCTGCGAGCGCTCCGGGCCCCCCTCCGCGCCCTTCTCGATCGCGCGGCGCTGCAGCTGGGGGCGCAGCCGCGGACGGCCTGGGGGGTCCGCCGGGCTGCCCCGCGCGGGCCGCCAAGGGCGCTGCGGCTGGGGGCGCCGCCACGGGCGGCCTGGGCGGTGGTCCGCTGGCGTCGTCCTCGACGGCCTGCTGGGCCGCGTCTCGCTCGGCGTCGATGGGGCAGAGTACGCGCGGCGCCGCCGCCCGTTTGCCTACCTTGGGCCAAAGCCCACGCCCCAACCGCCGCAAATACTCCCGGCCTGCGGTCGTGGCCGAGGGCGGGCAAGCACCAAGCAGCCCGCGACCCGGCTGGCGGCCGCCCCGGCGGCCGGCACGGCGACCCAAGCCAGGCCGTGCGCGTGGCCTCCGAGGCCGAGCTGCGGCAAGCCGTGCACGTGCGCCCGTCGGCAGCCAGCGCATGCTGCGTGACGAAGGTCGCGACGGCCCTCGGGGCCGGCGGGGCCTGGCGCGCCTGGCGGCGCGACGCCACCCGCGAGGAGGCTGCCATGGCGTCGAGCGTGAACCGCAGCAGCCGCCACCGTGCCACCATGGCCATCTTCTCGACGCGGCTAACCCGAGCACGATCAGCCAGTGAGATCCGCGCACGCTCTGCAGCGAGCTCGGCGGCGGCGTCGGCGGCCGCGTTGCCCCGCACCAATGCAAGGGCCACGCCGCGCTCAAGCGCTTCCTTGGCCTCCAGGTGCGAGTTGACGTGGATGACAAGGAAGGAGCACCGATCCCTGCAGGACATGGCCTGGCCCAGCCTCCACCAAAGATCCTGGTCGGGACCTTGCGGCTGTACGTCCCAGCGCTGCCACCAGCCGTCGTGGACGGCCAGGTTGTCCGTGACGTACACGACGGGTCCGCGCGTGCGCTCGGCAGCGAGGACCAGGCCCAGAAGCTCGCCGCGGTGAACAGTCTGGCGGCGCCCAGGGAGGGGGCCATGAATGATCGAGGTCGCCTCGAGAAAGCCTGCATCCATTACAGCAATCGCGACGCCAACTCGACGCCAGTCGGGGAAACTACTCTCGGGGCCGCCACTGGCGTCGCCGAAGACGAAGAGCGGCTTCTCGAGAGCGCCCACCCCCAGGGTGCAGAAGTCGGGGACGCCGAAATACTCCCAGGCCTCCTCCTGCGCGGGCGCCGGAACGGCCGTCCAGGCCCGAGGGAGCAGGCCACGCAACCAGAAGCAGGGGTACGCGTCCGCCTCGGCGTACGCCCTCGCCACGTACTCGTCGCTGGCCTGGTACGCCTCCGACTGGGCGTTGCAGCTGCAGCCCCAGTGCCTGTGGAAGGCGGTCTCGGCGTCGTGGCCGCACCGCGGGCAGAGGGCATCGCTGCTGCTACCGTCCACGAGCTCCGCCGAAGGACGACAAGTGGTGCCAGAAACAGCAACAACCGTCACGTGCAATCTGCAGTGAGGGTGCAGACCTTAGCGAATTATGTTTAGGGCCCCTTTGCCACACGGCCCTGGGGTCCCATTACAAGTCCCGCCGAGCTAACATACCTCTTGCAAGTGTAGGTTCCACAACGGAAGCAAAATAAAAACGGAGCGACTCGTCATCCTGAAGCAAGTTGCAATAATCCATCCCTCCAAGCTCCCTCTTCATAAGCTCCTGCGAAGATTCATCTCAACTGAGGGAAGCACCCCGTTGGAAGATATCCGCGTGGAAATCCTGAACCGTGCCAAAACAAAACACCATACTTGGGACTTCAACGCCACGTCTAACGATCCTGAACCGCGCCAGAACACAAATCTTGGGACTCTAACACCGCGAATCAACGTAACTGTCGCGCCCTGACAGTCCTACATTTTGAAGACGGGTCGCCCTCTATCCGTGAAACTCTTCAGTTTTTGAGAACGAGTGTGCGCGGCCCTGAGGCGAGAGCCACACTGTGAAAACGGACCACCCTCCATCTGTGAAGCAGCGTCAGGATCATAAATGGTGAGGACGTCTCAAGCAAAACGCCCGGCCCGCCCTTTCGACGCTTCGGGGTGCGACAAGCAGAAAAGGAATGAAGGAGGAAGAGGAGGAGGATGAGGAGGAGAATATGTTTTGCCGTCAACGATGGCAAGCAGCAGGGCCGATCCTGAATGCCGGCCTTGACTGTAGGAGGGGGAGGACGACGAGGACGAGGAGGTGGAGGAGGAGGAGGAGGAGGACGACGAGGACGAGGACGAGGACGAGGAGGAAGAGTGGAGTGGAGTGGAGCAAAGTAGGAAGCGCGCCGATCGATGCCGACGCGACCCACCCCCGCGCCCGAGGCACGGGAAAGGCCAGCGGCCTCAGGAGGGGGGCTCCTTCATGGCCCCGCCACATGAGAATTTAGGAGGAGGAGGACGAGGAGTGGGTGGAGGAGGAATTGGACCTTCCTCTCGTTCCATGTGCTTCCTTGCGCCATCTGAGTTGCAGGTAGCCCTGATGAAGTTCACTCCTGCCCCCAGGGGCGACGGCCCCCTGGGGGGGAGGGCCGTTGCAGCTCCGACCATCGGACCCACTGCCACCAACTCCGAGCTCAGCGGACGAGGAGGAGGAGGAGGAGGAGAAGAGGAGTTCAAGTAGCCTGAAAGAAAGGAGGAGGAGGAGGAGGAGGAGGAGGAGGAGGAGGGAGGACCCTGACTTCGGATCCGCCCTACTGTGGCTGACTTTCCGACGTGTGCATGTGTCAGACGTACGCCCCAAACGATGCGAATCACGTATGTTGGAAATTTCTGCGTCAACAAAGGCAGGACAGAGAGAAGACATGCTGGAAACAGCGACGGCGACGGCAAAGTAGGGCGGACATCGGCATCTAACGAATCTGAAACGCGAGGCGGGCATTCCCGCCCGGCTTACGAACTCGTCCAAAGTACGGCGGATCCGAAGCCAGGGGAGGGAGGAGAGCGGAGGCGGACCTGTCATCTCCACGTGCTGAAAGCTGCCCGGGCTGCGAATCCCGCTCTCCTCGGGGGCAGCGAAACGGGGGACCGGCTCAGGGCATCGACCTCCAACCGGCAATGCACCGACGACACACGTCCGGGCCCCTGTCAGCGATCAGTGCTTAATTGGGGGTCGATGCATCCCCCCTGAGCCGATACCCCCCCGTGATCCTCGTCGTCTGGCCTCCGGGTCATAGCTCCACTCCCTGGCGGCCGTTCGGGGTTATGCGGGCACCCCAGGAGCGCCCTCGGCGATGCGCAGCTGCTAGGACGCATCCCGAGGCTGGAGAATCGCCGCAGATCCCGTAACCACGACCCCGACGTCGTGATTGGTTCAAGACGTGCGCCCCATAGAGGTCTGGATCCCTGCCCTGGGACTGGCTTTTCATCCCGAGTAGTTGTTTGACGCTCCCGGCGGGCCCGCTAATGCTCCTGGAAACCGAAAGGAGCGAAACAACTCCCGTCGGAACTTTTTCATGATCCGAGGGGGTCTGGGAATCGCTGCGGACGTTGTCCCCGATGCAGGGGCAACATTCCGAACGTTGCCCCTGCCTCGAGCGCTTTTTTTTTCGCGGCCATAACGGGGGTTATGGGGGGGGAGGGGGGGCGGGCGGAAGGTGGGCACAACGTAGCGCCCCCCCTCCCCTTCCAAACTGCAGCAGTGCCGGGGGCCCACTGAGGGCAGCGTTACGCTGCGGGGAGGGTGAGGGGGGGGGGGAGGGTAGGGGGCAGAACGCGCGACAGCTGTGGCCCAGAGGGTAAAAGAAGGCACTCTCCTCCCCTCCCTCGACCTGCACCTTCTCCGCACCTTCTGCACGGCAGGTGCGGCAGGCGCAGGCGCACGGTGCAGGTCGAGGGCCCGGCCCCCCGCCGCTGCCCGAGGCGCAGCTGCTCCGCCGGAGAGCACCCCGCGGCTGGGAAACCGCCAGGCGTCTACGACAACGCTCGAGAGCCTCGAACCGCCCCTCAGCCAGGAGAGCCCGAGATCGAATCAATAAGTGGGATCGGCGATCGAAGTGAATCGAAGCGACGGAAATCGGCAGCCAAGTCGGGAGAAGTCGAGTCGGCGGGGATCGGCAGGCTAGTCAGGCCTCCATTGAGAAATCGGAAGAAATCGGAATCGGAATCGATCGAAGCCGAATCGAATCGAGTCGGAGGAGTCGAAATGAGCCATGCCTAACCCAGACCTCCGACGTCGTGATTTTTGTTCACAACGTCGACCCCAAGGGGGCTGGACCCCATCCCCGGGACAGGCTTTTCATCCAGACTCGCTTGTTCGAGGGCCCTGAGGCCTGGGAAAGGGCCCCCCCGAGGCCGAGAGTGGCGATAAAAACCTCCCGTCGCATATTTTTTTGCAACCCCAAGAGAACGCGAGTGAGGGGGGGCTTTTGGGACGCCCCCCCCCCTGACCCAGACCCCCGACGTCGTGACTTTTTCACAACGTCGACATCCAGAGGTCTGGACCCCTTCCCCAGGACCGGTTTTTCCTCCTGAGTCGTTTTTTGACGGTCCTGAAGCCTGGTAAGAGACCCCAAAGGCCGAAAGTAGTGAAACACCTCCCGTCGTGATTTTGTTACACAGCGCGAGGAGGTCTGGGGACGTTGCCCCTGCCCGCCGCGTCGAAGCAGATGAGCTCCACCGTGGTGCTGAACGAGGCGTGCCGGGCGCCAGCCATGCGCGGCTCGGCGCCCCGCGCGGCCCGCGCGGCCCGGCCGCTCGCGCGCGGGGGCGGGCGAGGCTCTGCGGAGAGCCAGGCCTCCGACGAGCGTCGGGCGCTGGACCCCGGGGGGGGAGGGAGGAGGGAGGAGGGAGGAGGGAGGAGGAGGAGGAGGAGGAGGAGGAGGAGGAGGAGGAGGAATAGCCTGGACACGTTAAAACACGTGGCCCTTGCTCAGAACAATCATGTTAGATACCCCCCTGGGTGGCCTGGATACGTAAAAACACGTGGTTCAAGCTCGGGACAACCATGTTAGATACCCCCTGGGTGGCCTGCATACGTAAAAACACATGGTCCAGCCCACCCAGGGGGATATCTAACACGCGGTCGTCTGGAGCGCAGGAGGGCCCAGGAACGCCCAGAGGTGCCTGGAGGCCAAACAGTCAACGAATCGATACCAAATACAAATAAACTCTCGACGCTCCGTTCCGAGTCCCAAGAAGGATCCAGGAGGCCCATGTTAGATACCGCCTGAGTGGCCTGGACACCTGAAAACACATGGTTCCAGCTCGGGACCACCATGTTAGATACCTCCCTGGGTGGCGTGGACACGTGAAGACACACGGTTCCAGCTCAGGACCACCATGTTAGATACCCCCCTGGGTGGCGTGGACACATGAAAACACGCGGTTCCAGCGCAGGGCTACCATGTTCGATACACCGTCTTGGCGACCTGGGCACGTGAAAACACGTGGTTCCAGCGCGGGACCACCATCTTAGACACCTCCTGGGTGGCCTCGGCAGGTGAAACACGTGGTTCCAGCTCGGGACCACCATGTTAGACACCCACCTGGGTGTCCTGGACACGTGAAGCGACGTGGTTCCAGCTCGGGCAGAACAAATTAGATACCCCCCTGTGTGGCCAAGGAAATCCTGGAAAAAACAAGCGAATTAGTCGAGACATCCTCGAAATTCCTGCGCGCGGGACGCGGCACGCGCGAGACATCCTCAGAATTCCTGCGCACGGGACGCTTTTCCACGTCGCGGTCGGGGCTCCAGACTTCATTTTTTTGCTGTTGTTTGAAGATTATGTTGGAAATGCCCTGCACCCTTTTGTAACGAAAGAAAGCGGTGATCCGCGGACCCCGTGATTTATCGGGGATCTGAGATGGGGGGCGAACTTTCCTCGGGCGGGCACGCGAAAAACGCACTCGTTCAACTGAAAAGTCACACTTCACCTCGCAATTCATCGCAAAATAATTTCGCCAGCTGTAGAGCCGTCGGGACCGGGGTGTTAACCTGCAAAAAAGAGAACCCTGGGCCTGCGCCCTTTCCGATAACTTGAACTATTGGTTTTGAAGGATTGTCACCTGCTGGGGGCCTCTTGGGAGCCTGTTGTGAGCCTTTTCGGGGCCTCTTCAGGCCATCCGAATGCCATCTTGAATTTTCTCGGGCCGTCTGGAGGCCATGTGGGGCCTTCTGGGCATGCTCCAGGGCCGTCTTGGACCCTTTGGGGCCGTGTGGGGGCCATCTTGGAGGGTCCCTGGGGCTCTGGTCCATCCATGGAGGCAAGAGCCGTGGCCGCGCCCAGCGGCGAGCCGCGAGGCATTGCCCGACGGCTCGTCGGGCCAGACGACCCGCCTTCTCCGTGTCTCCGCGCCCGCTCATGCTGCTCTTGCCCCTGCTTCCCGTCCCCTCCCCTAGATGCTGCAAGGAAGCCTCGGTCGATCAGAACAACTCGAGCTCCGGGCTGGGTTCGCGAACCTTGTACTCTGACACCCAATCGGTGACGGACCCGATGTTCTCTTGCCCAACCGCTTCAGCGGTCTGGTTGTAGCAGAAGTGCCCGCAATCGCGGCCGTAGGGTCCAGGGTGGCCGTTGAAGCAATCGCCTTTGCCGACAATCCGCTGCCATGGACTAAAATACTTCCCAGGCATACCCTGCATGACATCGTTCACACACACACACGAGGGTCTTCCGGATCATATTTAGGTTTGTCCCGAGTTCTTTGACAATGCGAGTAGAAGTTGAATTTATCATAAATCACCGTGGGCCACTCGTTGATGTACGATGTGTAGGTGGCGTCGAAGCGCAGCATTACTATCACCCTGTACTTCTCAGGATCGTGCAACTTGAACTCCTTCACTGTTCGGGTCATGCTGTCAGACTGCGACTTCCCCTGGAATCTCAATTGAAAGCGCAGGCGAGGTCCAAACATGCCAACAATGCGCTCCAACATGTTACGATATCCATCGCCGACTTCGTCATCAACAATTGTTTCTTAACTGCCTCTGGTTCAGAATTACATGAACCGCCCCACATCCCGCTGCCCCGAAACACTTGCCCCCGGAACAACACGGCAACACGGCTGCCGTGTGGCAGCGCGGCAAAAGACTCGTTGCCGTGCCTTGTGTCAGGATCGAGTACACCGTTGCGTGACAGCGTGATGGCGAATCCTGTCCCAAGGAAGACAGCAAAGGTCAACACAATGAAAGAGCTGCATATTTGAGTTGCAGAACGCATGCTAAAATACAGAGCGCATTCATGAAACTTGGTACCAAGCGCTATTTGAGCCAGAATGGCTACGAATGTGTCTTAGGCCGCCTTCGGGTCCTCTTGGGGGTCTCTCTTGAGCCGTCTTGGGGCGATTTGAAGGGCCACTTGGATCGCAATGGACCTGTGATAGGTCTCAGCAGACGAATTCGCTAAACATGTCGCCCTCTCTAGGGAATGAAGGCCGAGGGAGCAGGAGAGAGACGAAAGAGGAGGGAGGTGGAGGGAGGAAGTGAGGAAGAAGGAGGGCCAAGCCAATCTGGTAATCTGGGGTCGGTGTGCGGGGCTTCTTGGGCCACCCGTCGCTGGGTTGTGGGCCAGAGCTCCCTTGGATGTGCTTCGGGTCTCTTGGGGAAGCTCTGGGTAATCTTTTGGAACCAATTTCGAAGCCCCTTGGGGCCACTTGGGGTGCCGGTCGAAGGAAGTGGGCAGGGAAGGAGGCAGAGTGGGGGCGGTGAAGAGGGCGGGCGGGGATGGGACTGCAGACAGGAGAGAGAGAGAGAGAGAGAGAGAGAGAGAGAGAGAGAGAGAGAGAGAGAGAAAAAAAAAAAAAGAGAGATAGAGAGAGAGAGAGAGAGAGATAAGAGAGAGAGAGAGAGAGAGAGAGAGCGAGAGAGAGAGAGAGAGAGAGAGAGAGAGCGATATATAATATACATGTGTGCCTCTATATGTGCACACAGAGAGAGAGAGAGAGAGAGAGAGAGAGAGAGAGAGAGAGGAGAGAGAGGAGAGAGCGCGCCCGTGGGGAACTCGCAAAGGGGGGGTCCCCCCTTAGCTACCCCCCCCCTTGGACCCGCCCTGCCGGTAGCTACCCCCCTCCCCTCCTTTTTCGTCCCCGCCCGAAGCTACCCCCCCCCTTTGGCCGCTCCAGAAGCTACCCCCCCTCCATCCCCCCCTCTCCAAAGGGGGAGGGGGGCTTCGAAGCTACCCCCCTTTTGGACGCTCCGGAAGCTCCCCCCCCTCCCCCCCTTACCAAAGGGGGGGGGAGCTTAGCTACCCCCCCCCTGGACCTCCCCTGCTGGAAGCTACCCCCCCCTCCCCCTTTTTTTCCCACCCCGGAAGCTACCCCCGCCTCCCCCCCCTGTTGCCAGTCCGGAAGCTACCCCGAGAGGAGCTTAGCTACCCCCTCCTCCCTCCTCCCTCCCTGCCTCCTTCCCTCGCTCCCCCCTCCCGCCCTCCTTCCTCCGCCCCTCCTCCCCCTCCCTCCCTCCCTCCCTCCCTCCCTCCCTCCCTCCCTCCCTCCTCCTCCTCCTCTCCTCCTCCTCCTCCTCCTCCTCCTCCTCCTCCTCCTCCTCCTCCTCCTCCTCCTCCTCCTCCTCCTCCTCCTCCTTCCTCTTCCTCTTCCTCTCCTCTTCCTCTTCCTCCTCCCCCCCTCCCTCCCTCCCTCCCCCCCTCCCCCCCTCCCTCCTCCCTTCCTCCCTCCCCCCTCCTCCCTCCTGCCTCCTGCCTCCTCCCTCCTGCCTCCTGCCTCCTGCCTCCTGCCCTCCCTCCTCCCTCCTCCCCCTCCTCCTCCCTCCTGCCTCCTCCCTCCTCCCTCCTCCCTCCTGCCTCCTCCCTCCTCCCTCCTCGCGCGTGGCCGCGGCGCCTCGGTCTGCTCCATGGCCACGCACCTCTAGCGCCACAGTTGGGCGCGGACGACCTGAATGAGGGCTTCGGCCTCACTCTTGGTCAGAGGCCTGAGGAGGCGAGCACGTCTGGCTCGCAGCTGTGTGTATAGAAAACAAAACGCAACGGGCACCTCGAACCTCTGGGTTGACGGCTCCAGAAGTCCGAGCTTGTCGATCCCATCCCACCCAGGCTCCACCGCCCCCTCCCCCACGATCTGGGTAACTAGCTCCGCCAGGACAGGGCATTGCCAGTAGTGACGCATGCAATCGGGCTGAGAGCACCCCAGCCACGCAAGTCGACCCGAGCTGCTGAAACCTTTGCTGGGTCAGCCAAGCTTTTGACAGGGTGCGGATCATGGCAAACGCGTGCGAAACTTTCATTCGGCACATATTTAGGCTGACGGCGCCCCAGTCTATACGGAGGATCTTTTCTTCAAGCTCGGGGAACCAACTACGGAGCCTCCGAAGAAAAAGAAACCGCAGGGCGTCCGAGGGAAAAAGGGTGGCCGTCGAAGAGGCCTGGAGAGCGCGTTGGATCCTCATTCTAGGGGGACGCCGACCAGCAAGACAGAGCGCGGTGGCCTCAGAGCTCAGGCGTTGGACCTCAGAATATCCAGGAAGAAGGTGAGCCAGCTTCGGGTTCTCCGGAAATCCCCTGGCAGCCTCTTGGAGCCTTTGACCAAGTGCAGGTTCCCCCCACCAAGATGGCGACCATTCCCCCTTCAGCACGCCCACGATCGGTAGCTTACGGAGAGCCTGCTCACGTAGCCTGCGAGCGAGAGGGGGCCAGCAATTCGCGAAGGTCGAGAGAGCAGCTCTGCCGTGCGCGGCGCAGGCGCCGAGGGTGACACAGGCGA